TACGTATAAAGATACACAACGTATCCCTTCAAACTGCCAATTATGCACGAAATATTTAAGTAAAGCGCCAAATCTGAGTAGGTCATTCAGTGCAGAGTGGCGGAGGCTCGTTCCTTCCGCAACGTTGTTCCTTATCCTGTTAAGAGCGAGAGGGAGAGGGACCTGTTGCCTCTGGGGAAAAAGAAATCACTGCCAAATATTTTTGCTAATGGGTTGGATTTGAGAAGAACCTGCACAGTATGGGCTTGTTGCAGTGTTCCTCCTCTCTTATGTTTCTTAAGCTCGATCTCTCTGCTGGTCGTGAAAGAGAAGAGTTAATAAGAGTACTTACTATTGCTCCTCCCTGGGTTATGCAATGGAGAGAACATTGTATTTTTTTTTATTTAGGTAACACCGACTATTCCTTCCGTAACATTGATGATGGGTTGGGCGAATATTTTTGTTAGTGTGCCTTGGATTTGACAAGGACCTGCCAAGTATGGGCCAGTAGGCCTATTCTTTGGTTTCTTTTACTCCACTAGGTTCAGCAAATCCTCACATCTTTTACCGTTCGTGAGGAAATGCATATATACCGAAATGTGCATATCTCTGCGTATATACACCGAAGTGTGAATTTCTCAAACTATAAACATATCGAGGTAAGTATCTCGGTGTACATGCACACATATAGAGTATCTCTCAGCGTATATTCACTTGGATAAGTGCAACTTTCATGGCATAACTCACTAAGAGTGTGCCTCGACGAGATTTTGGTGTCTGAAGAATTTCTTATTTGGTGATGCACAGGTGAACTGAAGTTTTAATGACCCTTATACAGGTTGTAATGTTGTATATTCCTAAGGGTTTACCGCTCCCCCATGACCATAATAATATAACCCTTAACCTTTATAAACGACAAACCGAATGCATAGCGAGCGAGCGAGAGAGAGAGGATGGAATAAACTTTTTAGAATCAGTCTCAAATTCAATATATATTAACTATTTTGTTGAATAAAATTCAAAGGCAACATATGTGGATCTCCAGACAGTGACCCTGGCAAAACCACTTCCTCACGACCCGCCCAAAATGATCAGGCCACTTAAGCTTTTTTACCTCTCTTCCTGTCTGCCCATAAATTTTTTCACTGCTCTGTCCCACCCCAGGTCTTTCCCCTTATATTCTTGCCATACCTTTAATGGCCAACCATTTTAAAACTAATACCGTGTATGGAGTAAACGTACAGAGGGGAAACTCTGCATGGTTGGACGGCTTATTCTCTCATTACAAATGATGATCGTAGGTATTTAACAGTGGTTGTCTACTTCTGCTGAAGCTTTGGGAATAGGCTGGAAAAGTGGGTGGGTGAGAAAGGTTGGTTTAGAGCAGGGGTGGGAAACGTTATAAATATAACGTCATTCGTGGGCCATACAATTATCCACTTAAAAATTAGCCTGCTATATTTGGCCAAACATTTAATTAAGTCACGCCTAATGTGATGGCTGGAACTGCTTCTCTTTGGTGACGCGTGCGATGTTAGCTGGTATTGATGATGTTGCTACTTGCAACTTCTTTTCCAGGTTTGCGTCGGTCAGTCTGGAGCGCAGTCGACTCTTTGCGATGGTAAGTTTTGAAAAAAACTGCTCGCAGCAGGAAGTAGTTCTGAACACGTTTATAGAACTCATGCAACTGAATGATTTCGTGTTGTAGGTTATCAGGCACATAGCTGGTTCCGTATGAATGGTGTAGCAAGGATGTTCAGTTCCATTTGTTTACATTTCACGTTCTTGAATCTTTCATTAAATGCCTCATTTAGTTTCGCACATTCACCAGTATATTAAAGTGTTGTAGAAGGCTTTTGTCCTCCCAGAGTTGGGAAATGCGCAGTGTTATTCCTTTCGTGTTGCACTTTCCACAGCAGTGGCAGGGCCAAACCAAATGATTTCTCGAGCCTTATACCGCTGCTGGCCGAACGTTCCTCACCCCTGGTTTAGAGAATGATTTGCCTAGTTTGGGCCAGTAGGCCTACTTCATTGTTACTCCATTCTTATGTTCTTAAAACTGATTTAGACACTTGTAATCAGATGAGAATCCCTTCATTGGTTAAGCATCCATTGGTTTACCCAAAGCTAACTTTTATGCCCACTTCAAATAACAAATAATCACTACAAGTAATTAAAAACTTAAGAACATAAGCTACTTTAGTAGACCTATTGGCCCATGGCAAGGGAGGTCCAGCTCACTCATATTCATATACCCGTACAACCTATTTTTAGTTAAAGTTACTCAAATTTTGCTTTTCAATGGCGTTATCTTGGAGTTTGCTCCATTATCTACAATTCTACGCTTACCTATATTCTTTCTAAATATAAATATGTCCATTGTGATAGTGTTGCTGCAGTCCTGCCATGGTTAATTATTATTATTATTATTATTATATTAATGCTTAATTATCAATACATTATTAAATGAAGATCAAACCTTTAGTCTAGGAGAAGAATAACAGTTTGATCATAAAAATATAATCATACACAACTATACAATATATATAATATATATATATATATAATATATATAATAATATTATATATATATATATAATAAATGAATCCAAATTAAAATATATATTTTGGATTAGGTAATCTTTCCATCATAAAACGAATATAGTATATATAATGACTTAGTATTATAATATATTATATACCTGTATTATACTTATAAGTTAATCCGAAAAGTTGATGTAAAAGAATTACGTACTTTGTTAGTAATCTAATTCAATACAATAAAAATAGATGAAAGTAATTGAATGAGTAATATTCCTTTAGCAGTTCATTTTTTTTTTTTTTTTTTTTTTTTTTTTGAAAGTGTTGAGTGAGTTTTACTAGATCATATATCCAAACAAATTCACTATAAATTCACTGTTGCGTTTGGTAATTTTATCTCATTTATTTTTTTTGAATATTTGCTGACCTGCTTTTTAGCTTACGAATGCCAACATTACTTAAATTCAACTGTTGAGAGGAAAAACCAATATTGTGTAATCGAATTAGAAAAATCATTAGCCCTGGAAATAGTGTTAGGTTCGAGAGGGAAGGTTGGTAATTTTGGAGTAAGATACCTACATAGTAAATCCCCTCTTAGCCTATAGTACTAACTCTGCTTAAATGTCATCAGGTTTATACGAAAGGAGTTTATTAATTTCCTGTATTTTATTCTAAAAGTAATATCTTGCGCCAAATGTTGCTAGATTTTCTTCTAATTCACGAGTTTTCATACAAAAAGTGTTTTATATACTAATGGTTGTCGTTTTTTTTTTTTTTTTTGGAAAATGGCTCTGTTTTTGTAGCGTGCAAAAGTTGCCTAGTATTTTGTTCAGTCAACTCTGAAAGATATATTTCAGACGTAGTTAATAAACCAAGAGCCTGCGTACAAGTGTTGAGAATGTGCTCATACTGCTATTGTCCCTCTCCATTAAATAGGTACCCGAGTGCTAGTCGATTATTGTTGGCAGTGTGTTGGTAGTGACTGAAAAATCTTAGATTGGCTTTGAAATGAGCTGAGGTAGGATGAGTAGGATGAGTTAATTAGTTGAGTTTGGATAACAGCACTTGACCTATAAACGAGCTGAAGTAGGATACCTCTCAGCCTGTAAATGAGATGAGGGAACATCACCTCTTAGCCTGTAAATGAACGATGGTAGGATAACCGGCAGCCTGTAAATAAACGGTGGTAGGATAACCGGCAGCCTGTAAATGAACGATGGTAGGATAACCGGCAGCCTGTAAATGAACGGTGGTAGGATAACCGGCAGCCTATAAATGAACGGTGGTAGGATAACCGGCAGCCTGTAAATGAACGGTGGTAGGATAACCGGCAGCCTGTAAATGAACGATGGTAGGATAACCGGCAGCCTGTAAATAAACGGTGGTAGGATAACCGGCAGCCTGTAAATGAACGGTGGTAGGATAACCGGCAACCTCTAAATTTAACAGTGCAAACTCGATCATCGTCTTGGGCTGTAAATCAACTTAATCGTTGACCTTCGCATATTTCTTCAGTTGGTCAAATTTACTATTACAGAGCACATGGGGAATGGGAGGAAATGGGGTTTAAAGGAAGAAACGGGAAGTAGCTCCAGTTTCTTGGATCAAGAGAAGTTCATATACATTGATTGTAAAATTAACCATTCAACTCTGCTTCAAAATGTGCGCAGTGATTTAATACGGTTGAATTATGTCCAAATTTAGGACCAGAAATTTATTGCAGTGTTGAATCGTCCAAGTTATTGTCCACGGTGTTGTCCACGGTGTTGTCCAGTGTACTGTCCGTGTTACTGAACAAGACTTCCCTAAGAGAATTATCAATATTGTCCAAGGTAGTGACTAACACTGAATAAAGTAATGACCAAATTACTGACCATGGCATTGAATATGACATTAACAGAGGTACTGACCATGGTACTGACCATGGTACTGACCATGGTACTGACCATGGTACTGACCATGGTACTGACCATGGTACTGACCATGGTACTGACCATGGTACTGACCAATCTATTAATCAAAATATTGACTATGTATTCAGACATTATTCTGACATTTATTTCAATAACGTTAATACAATGCAAAAAAAAAAACTGATTAGGAGTTGCATTTCCTAATAACATTACACTGTAAGTGGTCAGTTTCTAGAGATTTGTGGGCATGTTTCTAGTAAAAATTATCTATTTTAAACAGTTTGACCACAGAAGCTGTACAGTGGAACAAAAATGTGTAGATAAATATACTCAAAATATTTATTTTCACACATGGAGGTAAAAATAAACAGATGGAAGTTTTCTCTCTCTCTCTCTCTCTCTCTCTCTCTCTCTTCTCTCTCTCTCTCTACACACACAAAGCTACTCTAGACCTGGCTAACTATCTGATGGGCGTTTCCCCCATCGATTTAGCCCTGAGTCTCCTCCAAGGGCAAAAGTAGCTCGGTTATGGACTATAAAAGGCCTCAACGAGCTTACAGCAGCAGATTGTCTCTTTTCATCTCCTAACATGGTAAGATCCTCTTTGCCTCCATTTGACTGTTCTTCCAAGATCATTACGATTACATATACCAAGTGCTTTATAATTTTGTCATATATATATATATATATATATATATATATATATATATATATATATATATATATATATATATATATATATATATATATATATGTCGTGCCGAATATGTAAAACTGGTCAATTAGCAAGAACTCATTTAAAATTAAGTCCTTTTTAAAATTTTCTCTTATACGTTTAAAGATATATTTTTTTCATTAATGTTGATGTAAAAAATTTTAATTTTGCTCCAAAAGATTCTTAGAAAACTTACCTAACCTTATTATAACAAGAACAATTTATTTTAGCCTAATCCAACTAAATATATTTTAGATTTGTTTACAATAATTTAATACTAAACAAACACAGTGAAATATTTTTTTTTCGTTAGGTTCAGAATGATTTTGGCGAAATTATTGCATACACAAATTTTCACTTGTTCTATATGGCAAGATGAGCGTTGCTATTTAAGCCAAGATCGCAAGTTCTGCCTATTCGGCACGACATATATATATATATATATATATATTATATATATATATATATATATATATATATATATATATATATATATATATATATATATACGTGAGGAAGTGCTAAATTCCTTTGGATTATTCAGCACTTAAGGAATGGGATACAATAAGGCTTGATTACAGAACTATAAGGTAAGTTCAGTTTTTTTTGGATCACGGATCCCTCGCTAGCATCATGGCCACCTCTCTCTCTCTCAAGATATTTCGTAAATATATTTGGTAAAGAAAAGCTATTGTAGCCTTCATTATCCAGAGGTAAATACGTCAGTTTGGTAGTTGTGTGTGTCTAGTCGCCGGTTTGAACCCCCGCCCACTCCTTGAGCTAGTTATCCCTTCAAGGAACGTACCTTGATGCCAGTGAAGGACTCTTTATCTAGGGAATTAAAGTTACCCTCAACCTTATATCAAACCTAGATGCCTCCCATTTCCTAGGACATGTATGATCCCTTAAGAGAGTAGAGCTTTCGCTTTAATAATTTAGCTGATACGAATATAAAGTGAACATAACATATTTTCAGCTAATGTAGACAGATTTATAAAACGCTTTTCATTGTCGGACAATAAAGAATAATGAAAAAAAATGTAACAGACGCTGTAAAAATATTGAAGGAAGACTTGAGAATATGACGTATACACTGGGATAGTTTCAGTATATCATCTATAACGTCTATATTGATATATTAATATTAAAAGTGTTTTCAATCTTTTGAAACCTTTGTTATTATTGTAAATATTATTATTTGTTGGTTGGTTACTTGGGTTTAAATCCTGTCGACTACACTATGGTCTTTAATGCTGCATATCAAGATTACTTTAATCCCTGAAATATGTATGAAGGTGAACTCTCAGTGTATATGTACTGAGAAATAAACATCTTGTGGATTATTACATGAATTATTATTATTATTATTATTATTATTATTAATGTTAAGCGATAAATCCATGTCGATCATTCAATTCTGGAGGCTCGATCCTTTGTCTTCTTAACTTGATACAAACAGGGTACGAAACTATACTCACCTCTTCAAAGACCAGAATATATCTCAAAGTCATTTTACAGAAGTTGTTGATCTCTACTGTCGTGTTGGTGCTGGCTGGCCGTGGCAGCGCCGTCGTCCAGTCATCATCTCACCTCTCCTTCGGCCCTGCTTCTCATAGACCCTCATCCTCAGGACTACATGGATCCGTAGGACTTGCCTCTCATGGCTCCTCTCTCTCAGGACTTCGTGGATCTGTGGGACCTGCTTCACACGGGTCTTTCCTGTCTAGACCCCATGGGTCTGTCAGTAGCCTTAGCCATGGCTTCCCTGCTGTGTCTCGTGGGAGCTACACACCACCTAGACCAACTTATCATGCACCTCATGACACTTACACGCCGCCTAAAACCACTTATGGAGCTCCCTTAGACACTTACACCCCTCCGAAGACTACTTACGGAGCTCCCTTAGACATCTACGCAACCCCTCAAACTACCTATGGTGCACCCGTAGATATTTATATTCCCCCTAGGAGTACTTATGATGCTCCATTAGAAACTTACACTCCCCCTAAGACTACTTATGGAGCTCCCATAGACACTTACACTCCCCCTAAGACTACTTATGGAGCTCCCATAAGCACTTACACTCCCCCTAAGACTACTTATGGAGCTCCCCTAGACACTTACACTCCCCCTAAAACTACTTATGGAGCTCCCATAGACACTTACACTCCCCCTGTCGATGTGTATGACGTTCCACTAGACACTTACAGTCCCCCAACCTACGGTACTTACCATTAATATAAGGGCACACATCCTGGCGTTTTAGGTAACATCTTTCCTATGTTCACTAGGAATTATCCATAACGGCTATGAACACTTATGACTGGGAGTGTCCACCATGGTTCTGTGCTG